AAAATGAATGTGCTAATCAGTAGCCGATGCAGGGATGAATACTTCTTAAACCTGAAATACCACTTAAACCTAATTTTTATAAATCCAGTAGTCAAATGCTGTGTAGCCACCTGACTAATGAATGATCTTTGTGTGAATGTCCATAAAACTGTATGACTTTCTGAGTGTATGTAAGCAGTAGACTTTTTTTAGAAAGGAAAGATGAAAAAGAGGAATTACGGAGAATCAATAAATTATTAATAATGTATTGCTGTTGTGTAAATAACATGTGATCATATAATCCATAAAAAAAGTAACTATTTAAGTATTTTAAAATGTAATTTAATTGAATTACAAGTACTTAATTTTTGGAATCTGATTACGTAGTCCAGTTTACATGTAATCAGTTACTACCCAGCTCTGGTGACCCATTACATTTCTCGAAAAGTGGCCATGTGATGTGCTATGTTTAGTTGCACATGCTAAATTCACACAATCACATTTGATAGGCTGATAAAGTGTAATAGTGTCTGAACATCAGTTATGGGATTAAACAGGCAGCATTAGGACGAAGGTAAATCTGTGGAGTCTGATAACCAGATTTCAGGCCACTTTTAATGCAGTGTCCTGGTTCCTCTCCAGCAGCTCTTCTCTGTCAGTTTTCCCACTGCTAGATTAGACTAGCTGTGAGAGAATGATAACCTGGTGCAGATAATCGCCAACTTAATGGAAGCTCTCTGCATGTCCAGGGATCTGCTAGTAGATAAAACATCTCAAGGGTGTGCAGGGGAGTTTTTGCTCTTTTTCTTCCCACAACACAAACATCTGTGACTTTATCAGACTCTAAACCTGGTATTGCCGGCGTTTCTCAGATACTCTTTCACCCTCTCATTCTTGCTCAGCTGTAGACAGCACAGAGAGTTGAAGTCTTGTAAATCCATCATTACTTCAGAGATTTGTGGATCATGTGGTTTACATCAGTTGTTTTGAAATTGCAGCCGTAAACCATAAGGGGATGTCTGCAAATTTTATTTCTATTTTCCATCATTTTAAATGAAGTTTACATTGTAATAACATTTCACAATATTACTGTTTAATCAAATAAATGGAGCCTTGGTGAGCATGAGAGCCTTGTTCAAAAAATCATACTAACTGAAAATCTCACAGGTTCCCAATGCCTGCTGACCAAAGTTGTTTGTGATGGTATAAAAACCATGGTGTGGAGACCTGGATTGAAGATCTAGTATTTTGTAACACACTTCATTTCACTTAATGGCTATCTTAGTGCCTTCCAACCTTCTAATTATTGCAATTTGCTCAAACTGAGAGAAAGAAAATCACTATTACTTATTACTTATAGTTGCTTACATGACGTTCCCTGTATTTAACTCGTGTTCAAGGGGACATGAAGACCACATGTGGATGTAGAACATTTAATTACCCAATGGGACACACTTACAAAACAGTGTTGCAAAAATGCAAATGAGGTTGTTGAAGAACTTTAATTACACATCTTGATTTCCAATACTTTGCACTTTAAAAAAACACCTAAATGTTCAGTAGTTCCTGTGTAACAGACAACACAATTGTGGTGCTTTAAAAAAAAATAAAAAAAAATACACAGTCATTTCTACACCAATAAACACTAGAGGAAACATCTTACTTCAAAAATTAATTTAGCTTGCGCTGCAATATTTTCAGTATCTCCCGATTTCAGGGCACACAAGTTCCTGCACTGTAATGGGATACACTTAGCCCTAAAATAATGCTCTGAAGTGCAATTAGAGATAGTGTGGATTTAGCTTTGGTATTTATCAGACCTGGGACAGTCTTGTGTGTGTACTTCCTGTCACATGCACTTGGCTAAGACCTGAGTGTGGCTGTTGGGACAGGCCCATAGTCAAGCTCAAGGTCCATCTAGGGGTTTGTTTTTTGTACTGCACTTAAAGGGAAAGTCCACCTAATTGTGTCATCAGTTATTCACCCTCATGTCATTCCAAACTAACTTTCTTCTGTGGGACACAAAGAAGATATTTTGAAGAATCTTGGTTGCTAAACAGATTCGGGTTCTCATTGGCTTGCATTGTATGCTGATGGTTATCAGCATTCTTCAAAATATATACTTTTGTGTTCAACAGAAGAAAGAAATGCAGACAGGTTTCCGTTTATGTTTTGAGTTGTTTTTATATTAATGGCAATGCTTTTTTTGTAGGTGAATGGAAAAGCAAGCCAGGAAGAAAAGCCTAAAGTAGCTATGAGTTTGTCGACCTCCAGCACCTCCTCCAACACCTCCTCTTCTGCAGCTCCGGCCAGCACCTCCGCACCAGAGGTTTGTGTCTGTGCACACAGTCTTCTCGAGTATACGAGAGTATATTCTAAATGAACGTAGAATGTTAATTTGAATCATGAAACGTTTGCAGGAGAAACCAAAAGCGAAGGCCTCGAGTGATGACGCAGGACTAACTCTGAACATATCGCTGCAGCAGGCCAAGGAACGCGCTCACCAGAAACGCTCCAACAAGAGAGCCCCACAGATGGACTGGAGCAAAAGAAACGAGCTCTTCAGCAACCTCTGAGCCTCCTTTGTGCCTCCCCTCTTCCTCTCACCCACTTCTTTTCATCTGTTTTTCTTTACTTCCTCTCCCCCTTTTTACAATTGTCTGTCCGCTCATGCCTCTCTGCTCCTTTGTTCTCTCTTTCGGTGCACTTGCACACAATTAGAAACCCTTTCACATGTATATTTTAAACCAGTGTTATTTTGTCTCTGTGATTTCTGAATCTGTTGATTGATCACCTTTTGACTTGATTTACCTCTATTTCACTGATATAAGATGAAATATATGATTTAACATTACTGTATAATGTACAGCCTAGAATATATATATTTTTTTTTTTTAAAGAAGAAAGCTTAAATGATATCTGAAACATATCTGTATATTCTCTACTTTACTTTTCTTACAGTAATATTGATGCAGTATTGATGGCCCTTTGAGAGTGCTGTATAGTGTCTGATGAGTTTCTTCAGGACTAGTCTTAATTGTAGCGTTTTGAAGTAACTTTTAGTGCAGCAGCAATCCATTGATTTTTCTTTCTTCTTTTGGTATGTGTGGTTATGATCAGTTCATAACATGAAGTGTAGAAACTGTCTGCAGCCTTTTAATTGAGTAAATGTGAGCTGTTTATGGTTTGGGACCCATTAACCACTGAAATGATAGCGTTTGACTGAATTGACTGAGTTGATACTGTTGGCTGATAAAACTTCTCATTAAAGGTTTTATTTAAAGTGCTTGTTTAGTGGATGTACTGTGCTTTTTGTACAGCGCATGGTAATAGCGGGAGTGAGTACTGGATGTTTAAGCATATGTTTACTTGTAAATCTTCCACAGTATTTTATTTTCATAGCAAGTGCTCACTTCACTCCATAAGACTGATTTTTGGTAAATTTGTCATTAAAGTAATGAAATGTACCTGCTTTAAATAGCTGTTAAAGAACCATGTCTTTGTTCTACACCAAAAACTATAACATTTTTTTAAATGGCCAGTCTATTATATTATACATATCTGAATTTACAATACAATATTTATACATATTGCATGATATTCCGATGCCAGAAAAGCATTGTTAATACCCTGCAGTTAAAATCCTTGACAGCATTTTCATGAGTTGCACCTGTTCAAAGTATTTGATCTGTGCATTAGGTCTTAAAGTGACAGCAGCCTAATAAACCTGCTGCTCTTAATGTCTCTCATGTTAACCAAACAAGAGAAAATGAGAAAATCACTCATTGCTCTTGACTGAACAACTTTAGTAAAAATCATTGCATATTTAATTCATACAAAGGAGACTATGCAGTGTTTTATTTTTACGTTTGGTTGTTTAATTTCTGTAGTATTTCGTACGTGAATGCTACTATTAAATAGTCTGTACCTGAAAAAAAATAAAGCAGTTTGTTTAATTTGTAACTTGCATTTTTGTCCTTATTTTTAGTTTTTTTTCCAAAATGCTTACGTAGTTTTTGAAACTATGGCTCCATTTCTCAAAATCTACACGGGGTGCCCAATCGTGCTCCTGGCGAACGACTGTCCTGCAAAGTTCAGCTCCAACCCTAATCACACACACACCTGAAGCAACTAAAGTCTTCAGGATCACTTGAAAATTAAAGGCAGCACTTGAAAAAAGTTGATAAAGTTGACTTTCTGACTTGTATGCATGTTCAGTATGTATAAGAGAGATAGATAGACTGAATATGCATATAAGCCAAGTTAGAAAGCCAGCTTTATTTATAAAACACTTTGTACAATATAGATACAATGTAAACAGAAATGCAAGGGGGTAAAAAATAAGTTTTCTAAAAAAAACAAAACGGAGTTTTGATTAGTAAGTGAAGTGAACAAATTATGTATGTTTTCACACATGATCACTGTGTGTAGGTCATCAGTAAATGAGTCTGGCATTAAAATGGCAGTTTCTCAAATTAAACAAAAGAGCTGTTAGTTTTGAATGATGTGTGTAATGAAGTGTTTTGCGAAAAGTTTGTTTTAGAATATCAAACAGAGTTTAAAGCATGTAATGTGCTTGTAGTTTTGCGGACTTGGTCTAAAGATTAGGTATATGAGAGAATGGTTCACTAAGTGGGCCTCAAGTATCACTTTGTGTCTAAGCAATCAAAAAAAAATAAAAAACTATCAAGAAGGGAAACCAACTTCAACAGCTAAATGTTTAGTATCCTTTTTAATTCAGTGTAAAAATTTCTTTTTTTTTTCTCAAATTCAACAGATACATTTTCACAGCCATGCGGAAACAGTTTGAAATGCTTGTAAACAAATGAACATAAAATTCAACCAACAAAAGCTTCCCCCCACAGTTGAACTATATACATATAAGCTACCAAACCCCATATCACAGCACACATCATCATCATCAGAAATAAAGCAAAGACCAGATACAGACTCTATCAAAAAAGTTACAAACCCACCACCCTCACCTCTATGTACTATGAGGGTCAATGTTAGTTCTTTAATTTTTTTTTTCATCGTTATAACAAATGATTTCGGCTACTTGTATCCAAAATACAGATTTGAAGTTATAATCACCAGCTCTCCAACTTATAATTACAGACTTAATTCTTCTTTTAATAGACCTAACGAATGAGTTATCAAATATATATATATAGCACCATGATGTGATTACTGAGGACAGAGGGAACATCACAAAAACCCGTGTTAGTATCGAGACCAGAACAACACTGGCCCTCATAAGATTCTCACATTGCTGCATGCACTGATAATCACTCTACTGGACAACATTTTTCCTTTACATTTTGTATTCTGCTTCTCTATGTTTGACTCAATAGCTTTACTTGTGTAGAGAAAAAACATAACAGAGGATAAGGCATCAATTCTGCTCACGAGAGAGTGTTTACTGAAAGTTGTGCAAATAGACCTAACGAATGAGTTATCAAATATATATATATAGCACCATGATGTGATTACTGAGGACAGAGGGAACATCACAAAAACCCGTGTTAGTATCGAGACCAGAACAACACTGGCCCTCATAAGATTCTCACATTGCTGCATGCACTGATAATCACTCTACTGGACAACATATTTTTCCTTTACATTTTGTATTCTGCTTCTCTATGTTTGACTCAATAGCTTTACTTGTGTAGAGAAAAAACATAACAGAGGATAAGGCATCAATTCTGCTCACGAGAGAGTGTTTACTGAAAGTTGTGCGTTAGGGCTTAAATTCATTTGAGGGTAGCAGCTAAATTTGCCTCAACAGTCATATTTTAATTGCAAATGATTGAGATTTTGGTCTTGTTGTAATAATAATAATTTTTTTTAAATTTAGCTGACAAGCATGATCGTAACCAGCGTGTACCTAAATCCTGACGCTATGGATGGGGTTTATGTGGAAAAATCAATGACATTGAAAATAATGCAAAATTTGCATAAAGAATAAGCATTGAAGGAAAGAGTATGAACATGACAATATCGATGTGGTTGCCGATGTAAAATGTAGCCCATGTTTGACGTTTACAAATTAAATACACAACAGTGCCTTACATTTGGAAAACTGCACATGCTTACAACACAACAGCTACTGAAGAAACTCAAAAATGACTAAAAAAATAAACCAATTCATAATGATTCAATACAAACATCTGCTAAAACCCATGAAGGAAAAAAGTAAATTACAAGAGAGAGAGAAAGGGGAAAAAAACATGGGTTCTTTATACAACAAACCATAATTTAACATGGATCTAACTACAACATGTGGGTGACCATTTACAAAATGTACTCGGCATTTGATGAATGCAAAGCAAAGATGAACCAGAGGAAAACAAGGACATGGTCACATTTGTCAGGAGCTTCAAATATTGGAAACAAAGTAGAATTGGATGATCTTAGAAGCAATAGCCGCGAACCTTCAAATAAAGCAGAAGTCGATGAGATACGTTTCCTGAGAGTTCACCAACAACCTTACTGGTATTGAATAGAGCTTATAGTTATACTAAGATAAACCACTATGCAAATGTTATATCGGTTGATGATTCTATAGGATGTTATAAAGGTTATTTACATTCAGAACGATCTATAAGAGGGAAAGCTCAAGTCTAGCTCTTAGAAAATTGTCACAGTTTTGCAATATATTGTAAGAATATTTTAGTTTGAATAGAGAAAGGGGAAAAAAACATGGGTTCTTTATACAACAAACCATAATTTAACATGGATCTAACTACAACATGTGGGTGACCATTTACAAAATGTACTCGGCATTTGATGAATGCAAAGCAAAGATGAACCAGAGGAAAACAAGGACATGGTCACATTTGTCAGGAGCTTCAAATATTGGAAACAAAGTAGAATTGGATGATCTTAGAAGCAATAGCCGCGAACCTTCAAATAAAGCAGAAGTCGATGAGATACGTTTCCTGAGAGTTCACCAACAACCTTACTGGTATTGAATAGAGCTTATAGTTATACTAAGATAAACCACTATGCAAATGTTATATCGGTTGATGATTCTATAGGATGTTATAAAGGTTATTTACATTCAGAACGATCTATAAGAGGGAAAGCTCAAGTCTAGCTCGTAGAAAATTGTCACAGTTTTGCAATATATTGTAAGAATATTTTTGTTTGAAGTCGATAGAATGTTTCTAGTCTATATATTTATGAGCTGTGTGATTTTTGTTTTCAGAGTAAGACATCATAAAACAACAGATATTATTATTGCATAACTTTCTTTTCCATTTCAAGAACTCTATGCTATGATACAAATATAAACGATGTGTAGACTTTTAAAGTGAAATAAGCCATGTGTCCAAGTGTGAATAGTTGCCATTTGCATAAAATATAATGAATATACCCTTTCAAATGGAGCATGAAAACTACCTATTGCAACCTTAGCGAGGCCGAGGAACCACATGAATCCTCAACCTTTTCTTTTAGAGGTAGTAAAAATGGTTTTCTTCTGGAATGAATGCTGTGAGTTAAGAAAAATGCATGGGATGTGATGCGATTCCTCGCAGATGCACGAACAAAGAGGCTGGTAAACAAACAAGCTGGCGCTGTATTGTTCAGAGACTCGCAATACTACTAGAAAGTCTACCAGAAGAATCCTCTGCTGTGCCGTCAACATCAAAGATGACAGGAAGGTAGTGTTCAGGTAGCAGTGATTGCTTGCGGTTTATTCGACGGCTCACAAAATACTCTGACCGCCTGTATAAAAATGGCTCTTTAGAACAAATTAAAACCATAAACATCAGCGTCAAATGATAACTTTTGTTTTGTTTTTTTGCATATCACAATATTCACTTTGACTTGAGCACATCCCACTTCTATAATTATGTTTGTTAATCACATAATATAATAAAGCTGCAGGTTTTTACTATCGTTTTACAGGCCAAAACGTAAATTTTTTTTATCCCTGTAGTGCAAATTGTGAGTGTTTTCCATTAGTCTACTCTTCATACCAGTAAGGTTTGATTTCAATACCATCATCCCTCATTCCACTACTATATTTATACGTTTAAATATTTATATATGTGTGTGTTTAATATGAATGTCATACATATATGAATATACTGTCTCGATATAGATTTTTACTACTCTTACCAAATGCACACCCATCCAGAACAAATGAAACAGCACGAGAAACATACAAGGTACTGAAATCTTACCCCCAAAAACTTTTTTTTTTTTTCTTCTCACCAAAAGGGGAAATAAAGACAGAAAAAAAAGTGAAGAAAACTTCAAGTACAATGAACACTGAGGAGAAAAAGTCCATCGGGCAAATTGTTTCAACAAAAAACAGTATCCCCATTTCAAACGAAATCCCCTCGTATACACACCCTTCTCTCTCGGATCAATGACTGAGAAGTCCTTTCTTCAAGCTTTTCAAACTTGAAAAGGAACAAAAACAAAAAGAGAGACCTGGTGTGAGGGGAAGCCACTGTGTCTTCTTCCAGGCCTCGTGTGCATCGCTCCGAGTGGGATTTTTCCAGTGCTGTTGGCAGTGAGGTGAGGCGCTGTGATGGCTGATGCTGCTCAGGGCTCCTGTCTGATGTAGAAACTGCCTGAGCCGTTGCTCTCCTGGTCTGAGATGCCCTGCGAGAAGGTGAACTCGTCCATCTCAGGAGTCTCTTCTTTCAACTGCAGTGAGGCCTCTGGAAAACAAAAGCGAGACACAAGAACACCAATCCATAAAATGACAAACACACTGGTAAAAGAAGGACAACTAAATGCAACAGTAAATAGAAACATTTTCACACTCGGATATAAAGAAGCGTAGATGGAAAGGAGAAGCATCACTACACTTAAAACTAAAAAAAAAAAAGAGCAACAGAAACCAACCTTTTCCATTTTTACGGTTTCAAAATTAGTTGTCAAAAGCAGAAGCATTCACATAATGAAATCCACCAGGCAGCGATACGCAAGGTTTTTAGTAGACTCATAAACTTACCTGTAATATTTAAAAAGACAGTTCAATCAATGTTGTCATTTACACACCCTCATGTCATCCTGTAAGGCTTCAAAAGACTTGAAATATAGAAAATGGTCAAAGCAACCTACAGCTGAAAAATGAATAGCTATTATATAATATATGTTATGGAAGGGGTTTCTTTTTCTATAAAAAGTCCCATATTGAAGAATTTTTATTTTTAATTAGAACTTTTAGTTTGGACTGAATACATCAAACAGAAAACCCATACGATTAGACTTTAATTGAATGATAAATGATCTGCAATGTTGGAGCACATATCTGGTAACAATTCCATAACCGTTGTGCTTGTTGGTGCTTCTTGTACATGTTTTTCTTGTATAACAAATATAACAGTTTAATCGTAACCTTACTGAATCATGATATACATACATATAAATGTGTGATTTTTCTTTTATGCCAAAACTCATTAGGATATTAAGTAAAGATCATGTTCCATGAAGATATTTTGTAAATTTCCTACTGTAAATATATTAAAATTATATTTGATTTGTAATATGCATTGCTAAGAACTTCATTTGGACAACTTTAAAGGCGATTTTCTCAATATTTAGATTTTTTTTGCACCCTCAGATTTTTCAAATCAAAGTTGTATCTCAGCCAAATATTGTCCTATCCTAACAAACCATACATCAATTAAAAACTTATTTATTCAGCTTTCAGATGATGTATAAATCTCAATTCCGAAAAATTGACCCTTATGGCTGGTTTTGTGGTCCAGGGTCACATATTATTTAAAATATGATCTCTTTTTGTGTTCCAAAGAAAGTCATAGAGGTTGTAAAGAACATGAGGTCAAGTGACAGAATTTACAGTATTTTTGGTGACCTATTCCTTTTACATTCAAAAACTATGAATTCACACCACCCTAAAGTGAATGAAAAGGTCAGATGTGGGATGAAACTGACCACGAAGACAATTCTTCTGAGTCAAACATAAAACTACCCTTCTTTATCATGTAGCTGTTGTTAATGGTGTATGTGGCACAAATGACTCAGACACCTGACGACTGCAACTCTTCACGCCGACCGACCTGAAAAGTTCTACAGGAATGAGCTCTGTGGCGCCCTCTCCCTGAGTGATGGAGAATTGAGTTACCTGAGTTGAGAGAGCGATCATGCTCTACACCTGAGGTGGGAGGTCGCCCGGACCCAGAGAAGTGGGACAGGTAATGGGGCGGAGTCTGCTCTTCATCACCCGAGAAGCTCCTCCTCCTCAGAGGCCCACCCAAACCGATCGGCCTCCTCCCAACTGGAATCTTCCTCTCTAAACACCAAGCCAGACTGAGGTTACCGAAGTTACTGAGGTTACCCAGGCTACCGAGCTCCACTCCACAACACTGCGGGCCTTCCTCCGGCTGAGCCCAAATTTCAACTCAGATCTGAAACTTAATTTGATTTCTACATGACAGAAGGGTGATTCTGTTCAGAAACTGAAGCCCTGAGAAAAGACAATGTGGAACCCAACATGATGATTGCAAATCCCTACCAAACATTTGCTCAGATTCGGTCACCCTGAGGGAGCGTGCCACTCTTTCTCACCCGAGTATAAGGATGATGGCTACAGTTGTCTGTAATTATCCGTGACCCTGCTGAAACTGCTACCGACTATCAAGCAGAACCAGACCAGACCCAAAGCTGAGGAAAACCCAGAAGAAACAGCTCCTGGACTAATTTTGCACCCAACAATCAGTGTTCGGTGAGAGGAGAGAGAGAAGATGACAGATTGAAAAGATTACACTCACTTTTCTTTTGTCCTTTATACTGTGCAGTCTTCTTTTTCTGTTTCGAGACATTTGGCGGTGCTTCTCTTGCGGCTGAGAAACGAAAGGGACAAGCTGTTATTCTATGCAGCCAATCATTAAAGGGATAGTTCACCCAAAAATGAAAATTCTGTCATTAATTACTCTCACTCATGTCGTTCCGAAAGACCTTCGTTCATCTTTGGAACACAAATTAAGATATTTTTGATGAAATCCAAGAGCTTTCTGGGCCTTGAATGTGGTAGGACCCTTGCTGTCTATGGAGGGTCCGAAAGCGCTCAGATTTCATCAAAAATATCTTAATTTGTGTTTCGAAGACGAACAAAGGTCTTACAGGTTTGGAACGACATGAGCGCGAGTAATTAATGACAGAATGTTCATTTTTGGGTGAACTATCCCTTTAAAACCTAATACAAACACATTATAGCTTACAAAAAAAAAAGAACAGCAGGATTTTGATTTGCTCTGAACTAAAAAATAATAATACATAAAAAAAGTTAAATAAATAAATAAAAATTAACAGACGTTATCTTGTTATTATTCCAAATATTATACTAATCAATATTAAATAATACATGATTATAGATATAATCAAAATGATTAGCCTATTCTTATTTACACTTTGCATAGTACATAAGTCATGTGACTCATGCTATCCTTTACGTGAACTGTTAAAGGACACTTGATTGATTGTAATTATAAATTTGACTTAACTGCACAACTCAACACAAATGAAAAAAAATTTTGATGGGCCCAAGTTTACTCAGTATTCAGTAACTTTCATTCTGACATGTCTATGCTGGTATACAGAGGTCAGTCTATAACAGAAGTCATTTACAGTATCAAACTGTTTAAATCTAAGAGTCAGACAGAGAGTAGAAAATAGTTGTGTAAAGCTAAATTAAAAAACAAAAGAACTAATAAGAACTTAAAAGTTTAGAAGACTATGAAGACTTTAAAAGACTTAATGGGAGAATAAATTGTTTCTTAGTGTTGCTACGAAACAATTTGAACCTTCTAGAATCAGAATCTTCTAGACTGTTCACTCACTCTGCGTGGCAGGCGGCTGCAGCTGATAGCCAGTCAGTTGGCACCAACCTACAGGGTAGAGATCTGGAGACTCACAGTCCACCCACTGATCGTACTCATCCTCCCAGCCGTCAAAATGAATGCGCAGGAGTCTGTGGACAATCCTGGTTACTGTGGCGACACATACCAGACGCGGCTCCATCAGGTCCACTGCCTCCAGCTTCATCCCTTTACGGAAGCCGTGATTCGGTACTTCCTGAGAGCATGAGAGAACATGAGTTAATGCATGCATCCCAATGTGTAATTTAAGACAACACAATGCATATAATTTGACAAATAAAAAAAAATCCTCAGTCTATGCATGGAAACTTACTTTGTTAAAGAGTTTCACAGGAGCTGCAATTGAACCCATTTCTCTGAGGTAGTCAAACCATTTGAAAGGGAGTTTGGTGTACCCTGTGGAGCAGTTTCAGATTCATTAGCAAAAATGGTGCAATTTCATTCAGTGATGCAGTCAGATCTGATCACACTGCAGAAGAGAGAGGAAAAGCACCTCTTGGGGGTGTGAGCTCAATGTTGTTGATTTCACAAAAGCCGACTGGGAAGATGGAGGGAGAGGTTGAATGGTAGCAGAACCAGTCTGACCCATCAGCAGCCTCAGAACCATCAATCCCAATCATTAGGTACCCGTCTGCCAACACCTGAGAGAGATAGTTAAAAATACTTCTTCCTTGTGATTTTTTGCCCAACTCAATGTTTGAGTCTAACAGAGAAAAATGTCAAAATGGCATATTACCTTTCTTACAGTAGCAACACATATAGCAGAGAGATTTAGAGGGTCTATTGCCTCTAACTTCATTCCATCTTTAAACCATTCCCCACTCTGATCCACATCCTTAATCTATGGGTTCAAAAGAAGACACATGAATGTGACTGTAAACACACAGTTGAATTTAAAAAAGCAATTACAAGCATACCTTAAGAAACAACTGTGAGGGAGAATCCATCTGACCCTCCATTTTCTTTGTCACCTCTGCAGAGTGCAACATTAGACACGTTTAGCTTTATTTTTTGCTCAATCAAATTTGAAAAGGTCTATCAAAAACCATTCGGACTCGCACACTGACCAGATCTTTTGAAACGGTGTCCAATGCTACGTGACCACCCAATGGAGTGGATGAGTGGGCTGTACATGTGACACCAGAAGTCATCAGTGCCGTCCTGGCTCTCCTCATACACCAGGCGCAAACGTCCACCAATCACCTGTTCCACCAGGGCCACGCGAGTTCGACACAGGTGAGCCTTATCCACAACTTCCACACGCATCAGTTTCTTAAACGGGTACTGCATGTTCTCGTGAACCTTCAGTTAAACATTTAAACAAATGGTTAAAACTTACTCACAGATGGAGACTTGTACACTACCATTCAAAGGCTGAGCTTTGTAACATTTTTTATGTTTTTGATAGAAGCTTCTTATGCTCACCAAGGCTGCATTTAACTGATCAAATCACATTAAAAACAGTAATCTTGTGGAATATTGTTCCATTTTAAAACAATATTAAAAAAAAATGTAGACACTTTTTGTAGAAACTGATACATTTTTAAAAAGTCAATAAAAAAAAACAGCATTTATTTGAAATAAAAACCTTTTGTAACATTGTGTTTACTGTAAATGTTGATCAATTTAATGCATCCCTGCTGAATCAAAGTATTAATTTCTTTTGGAAAAAACTGTGATTGAATATTAATTCTATAATTCATTATGCCTTTATATACAAATAAAAGTAATTGTGGGTGCTACTTTCAAAAAGTCAAACAACAGAAGAAAAAAAACAAGAAAGAAAGAAATAAACAAGAACAAATTTTTTTATTATTTATTGCACTTTATCTCAGTGACAGACAATGATGTGCAAGTAAAAATGGTAATTGATGTCTGCTTCCTGTGTTACAATAAAGCAGTCTGACACCTGTACGCTTTGTGATCTTCATATCAGGAAGATCTTGCTGCACTGGTTTTTCCAGAGTCTCTCTCTCTACTGAAGCACAGTTTCATGATCACTGCTGGGATAGAGTATCTTACCTTTGTGGCGAAATCTGGTGGAAGTGTTTTGGCTCCAGTGAGTCGTTTCACAAGAAACGCTTTCCAGTTAGAATACTTATGGTGGATGGCTATGAAAACAAATTATATATATAAACAAATATATTTAAAAAATTATAATTACTTCTATTCAGCAATGGCAACTTCACACTACCTTAACTGCAAAGAAACCAGCTTATTACATAGTTTAGAAAGGCTTAAATGTTTTACATACATTTCGGAGGCACCAGTGGCTTTACACTAGAAGCACACCATCCAACAGGGTGGACCTCTGGGATACACAGATTACACCAGAAGTCTTTGCTTGAGTCATTATCAAAACCCTCATAGCGCAGAAGAGCTTTAAAACCTAAGAAATTATGAAAATAAATATCATACCTTTTCCAGTTATAATACTTGAAAAACCTTGGCAGTCATTAAAATACAACATTACCTGCCAGTTTGACAATCCCTGCTACCCAGTAAACTTTTGTGGAGAGGTTTGTGTCAGAATTGATGACCTCCACCCTCATCCCCTCTGCTATGTCACCCCAGCACATACCCATGGGCACCTGAAGAGTGATCAAGTTACAAACAGTCAAAATATTAAACAAAAAACAATGTTCTGCCAATCTCTGCCTGTACTCACATGTTTGAAACAGCTGACTGGTGCCCCAACAAGATTATTGCTACAAACGTACTGGCCCCAGTCAAAGCTTTCAACAGGAACCACTACACAAGCAAAAGAACAAATGATGCTGTGGTTAAGTGATGCGACTGCTACAAACGATTATTAATCAATTAGGAATACAATAACATAATGACACTTTAAACCTGGATATTTACTTGATTTTGATTTAGCTTGGTTCTGTTGATTTGCTTGATACTGTGCGTAAGCTGCCAACTTTGCCATTAATGGCTGTTTCTGTAAGACTTTTGCTTTTTTCGTAGGTGGTTTACCCTTGATGGGACACAAGAAGAATACATTCAATGAACAACAATACAGGTAGTGTTTTGATTAGGAGTGCTTCTTAAGTCCATAAGTAGTTACCTGAAGTCTTGCCAGTATACTGGCCTTTTTAGAATTGGAGGAATAGCTTCTAGAGCAGGATACACTGCAGAATCTCTTTGTTTTAGAGTAGAAAGCATCTCGTACACCAACCATACCACACATCTCACAGGTTGCTGCATCACAAAACAAAATCAATCAATCATATATTCACACTATTGAACTAATGACGCACTGAAATTTCAGCCAAAACCGTCTGAATTTTTTTTTGCCTGTTCTGGAGGGCTAAATTAATAGTCAGAAACAGTGACGTTTAATTAGCATTTTTCCAATTTTGACTGTGTCTGTGACTATTTTGTGCACACAATGTGGTGAAACAACAACAACAACAACAACAACAACAACAACATGTAAACATATAAGCTGTCTGGACCCTAATGCTGGATTAACAATATTGATTTCTGATTACTCAATACGGATATGGATTTCTAAATCAAGATCAATCTTTTAGTCTAAGCTGTTTTCCATTGATGTGCGAACTTCATTCGCACATCAATGGAAACATTAATGGTAGTGAACCTGCCATTCAATAAATCGCAACAAGCATTGTGCTTTGTTACCTTTAAAATCAAACAGTCTCAGCTTTCAAATACTTGTGATTTTATCACAAAATCCAAACAATAAATGTGGTTTTGACTCTCTTCGAGATCACGTAACACATCACTATACTGAACGCATTTATCCTAGATGAAATGCAAACCATAGCCTACTTCTTTTTTGTTAGGTAGGTTTTGTTTTGTTTGGTAGTCAATTTTACACAATTTTAGAAATCAGAAATTATATTGGAACCACGAACGATTTCCATAAACAGAAAGTTGACCTGAAAATATAATACTTTCTATTTATTTCCAGGGTTAAATGAAAAACAAAACCAATTTTTTGTGTAATCAAAACTCTTGGACCCCACTATATATGCAAATGACTAACCCATTCCTGCTTTTCCATCAGGATAGGTGTACACCTGGCCGTTGTTTTTGATGATTGGCAGGCTGGCGGGCATGCTGGGGACTTCATCCTCGCTGTCCTCTGAGCTGGAGCTGCTACTGCTGTCTTCACTGCAGCTGTCATACCCGTCAAACATCCCGAACGAATCTCTTCTCTTCCTCTCCGAGCGGTGTGTGTGCTCAGCCTACGCAACGAGGCGAGAGGAGTGAAAAATGTGGAGAGAGAAAAAAAAGAGAGTAGAAAGAACGTCAAATTAATGGAAGAGCAAAGAAAGACAAGGATTAAAGCTCACTTATATACCACTAATACTTCAATAAATGATTACCTTTGACATAATACAGCCGGATTAATATTACAGTTAGTGATAACCATAATCTTTATATTAGTTCATCAACGCTTTAATGAGCTGCGAATTAGGAAGCAGACCAAATCACATGAATAAAATTGAAGGTTCTAATGGGTCACAAAAAGCAAATATCATGTAAAAAGGGTCAATATAATCAGCACCCAATATCCCCACAGCACAAGACAGGAGACAGCCAAAGCAAAAGAATCTCATTTAATATTTCCATATGGCATCTGCTGTATTTTCCTATTCTACATTTTTATATTTTTCACCATTTAAGCACTAGACTGGTGCAACAGACACGGATTTGTCCAAAACCCTGTGACCTGATTTCAGTATGATTTTCAGACACTTTTCTTCATCTGAACGCATGCCATTTCCATTACCACCTGCTAAAATACCATCTGACTAAAAATCGACACATTTTATATCCCCATAACCCACCATAAAGTGATTTTTAGGTCATATAAACAACAGAAACATACATATTTGTTGTGTTTCAAAACCCAGTGAGCTTTCTACATAGACAGAACGTTTCATGAAAACGTGCTTAACGCGTTTATGATCCCCAGAAATACAGTCTACTGACTATGTTTTGAGACCATAACATAAACACAAACATTTACACATACATGGGCCTGCGGGTATATTTCACCTACACAAAACACACACATTATCACTTGTATTTGCACCATTTAGTGAGACAGCTAGTTTGAATAAGCGATTACATACCATAGAGAGTATTACGAGTGATTTGAATGAGGTACATTTTGTAGTTTGTGTGACGAGCAGGATCTGTTTCTGACAACCAAAACAAAGAGGACGGCTAACACTGCTAGCCGCTAACTGCGCTAAATCAAGGAAGCGGGCTCAAATAAACTCTTTCTTACCATATCCCTTGGGTTTTCCATTAGCCCTTCATGCAAGTCGGTATCTTATGTTCGTTGTGGTATGGTCCAAAAGCCCCCCTGGGGGAAAGGGCCTGGCTTGAAATTATTTTACTCTAAAGGAAAAAAATAACTCCAGTTGATTATCAACAATTGCCATGGCTCAAGTGCGCATGCGCGTGGATCTAGAATGATTGACATGAGTATAAGCCAATCACGGTTCACCTGGTCTGCACCTTTTACACCATATAAGGTCAAAGGAAATGTTTTAGTGAGGGTGAATAACTACAGATCAAATAAATACCGACTTTGTGGTGCCATAGCAGATTTATTGACTATAACTATTAAATATAATATGTCTTCGGCCATAACTTCGTGGTAATAGAATATGACAGGATTAAATGATGGATGGGGTGATAAATGTCTGGATGTGTCTTGTATAGTTCAGTGAGGAGTGCTGTTGTAGTCCTATTATAAATATTTAAATAATAATAATATATAAAATAAAAAATAGGATTTTATACCTTTCCAAACCCTGTTGTGCTGATCAAAAATTAATACATTTTCCCTGTCCTTTTAGTTAGCCTACGTTTGAGTCATTTATTTGTGGCAAAGTTTTTAGTAGGCTAAATTTAATTCTGACATTTAATAATTATTGCTGTAAAATCACACAAATAGATTTAATTTGGATTTGAAGTCAGACCTTGAGGTTGATGATCAACATTTTCTTAAGGTTAAGCATATCCTTTCTTTCAATAATCATTTATTGAAAAAGGGAAAAAAGTGCCTCTGATATTTAAGAAAATCACTTAAATGTGTTATCGTATATATTTTTACAAGAGGTACAAACAATAGATTTACAACTTATTTACAGTAATCTATTGATGCACTGCCTCACATTTACAACTAAATTAGTTTTCGCTTAACCTAACTACACCTCGTAACATTAACATACTTTTATTTTACTCAAAAGCAGCATAAACTTTTTGAACTTGTCATACACGAAGCACAATCAGTAATCTTGTATATTAAGTTGACGACCTTATTTATGGATTAAACATTACATTTTCATTTCATTATTTGCTGCTTCTCACAATTGCATTGTTTAGTCTATGCTTTCTTAAAATATAAAAGGAAGAGATATTATCTAGTTCCATTTGCATGTGTTTTCTGCCATTGTCGTTAGCTCCTGGATATTTCAATAACTTTCACGTAACATCTTGCATATTTTATAACAACCTTTGAATTATTCTATCATTATTTGTTCAAATAAACAGTGTGCATTCATCACATCCACTTTATCGCAGAACAATGATCCAAAAACCATCATAGGACTGTGTTCACTCAGCTCGCTCAAAAACTAAAATACAACATTAAACTAAAAATGGGCTATAATAATACTCTTTATTTGATTGTATACACATACATACTGCAGCATTCAATGTAATAAAACTCAATTCACAACATAAATATTTTTTAACAGAAAAATGAGAAAGTTCAAACAGTACAAAAAAAAAAAAAAACCCGTCAACATAAACTGAACCATCATATCACTGACAAACACAATAATGAGGTTCCTAACTAACTCAATCATGAGTTCCCTGAGCTCTGCAACTGTCTTTCATCTGTTCTTCAGACGATTAATGAAATGCAAAGAATGACTGACGTAACCTATTATACGTAAATGAGATGAACACAAGTGAAAACAGTAAAAAAAATGAACCATCAAATGTCTTCCAGATGTCCCAAAAAGTTTAGATAAGATATAAACTGTGGAAACCATTCCTTATATGAGAGAACTTCTGCAGTAAATACAGGTAGTCTGAGCAGGTGGTGTAGTCAAGTAAGGCTCTTTCTCAGAGACAGGAAGCATGTGCAGAATGCTAAATGAGGATAACAACTGGTCTCTGGGGAGGAGAATACAGGGAGAGCGACATCATTAAATCAATCATCAGGTCTTAAATGGGACATTATATACAGGAGCATCCAAACAATATATAATATGAGACTATACTGATGTTTGCTTACCAATATCAAGGCAAACATGTCTTTGGTCTTTTGTCAGTTGAATTCCTCATCAACAGTGTCATCCACACTTCCAGAAATTGAGGCAGCTTCTGAAAAATGACAAGAGGAAGATAAAAAGAATAAAACGGCAAAACTGATATAGATCATAAAAAAAGGACAGAAAACTAAATTTAAATGTGCTGGCCACTTTTCTTTTGTTTTTTTTTGCATTTTGAGACCTTTAACGGATTAAGAATTAGCCTTTACATAAACAAAAATAAAACAAAAACAAAAATTAATGAAATGCTGCTGATAAAAATAATTGTTCACTAAAATGAATACTATTAAAAATCCTTTTCATTAATTGAAAAGCTA